CTGTGGAGTCCAGTACACTGACACAGCCCAGTCACAGGGCACAAAATCTGCTTTGATCCCTATTATCTTCTGCAAACAGAGTGTTATGGGTATAGAAAACTGAAAGAAATGCATCAGGTCATTTACGGCCTTGATCTGAAACTGGTTCTCGTGTGGTTCTCGTTCTCTAAAATGTGATGGCAATTCAATTTAGATAAAAACCCTGCAGTTTCCCCGAGGCGTAGCATGAAGACAGGGAGGCGTGGTGGCCCTCCTCCTGAGCCCTAGCAGAGCCAGTCAGCACAGGGACAGAGACAGAGGGAAGGGAGTGAGAGAGAATGATTAGTGACAAGTACATGCTTGGAAAGTAATACAAAAAACCACAGACCTTGACTTCCAGTGACATCTGTTTCTGTGGATGAGAAAATTTCCCAGAATGAAAAGCAGCAGGTGGAGTGTCACAGCCCCACCTGGGCCAGGAGCCCAGCCTGCCTCAGCACGGCCACAGGGCGGGGGGGTGGGGACGCTGGACATGTCACCAAAAGCACCGCATCCCAGGGAACAACCTTGGGCTTCTGCCATTACCAACACAGTACTGCCAGGCCTTGTGCTCTTGAGGGCAGGGGCCAGGTGATGCTCTCCAACAGATCACTCTGAGCCACTACTTAATTAACTATCTCTTTTAAGAGCAGAACTCTGTCTGCCACGGCCCAGCCCATAGAAGATGCCCTCTCTACCTCTGGATAACAGCAGGGTTGTTTTCTGGTACAGATCCAGCTCATTGCCCATTTGCCCTTACAGAGTTACGGAGACAAAGCCTGCGCACAAGGGAGGCAAAGGCAATACTTTCTGACAAACCCAGTTCTGCAAGTTTTTTGTAATGGGGACAGGTTCAGTACACTCAGTCCATTCCCTCCAAAGCATGAGACTGACTTCGCCCTGGTGTTTCACTGAATGACCTTTCATCTCTAGGTTCTCCTGGACTGGCCACGCTCACTCACACAAGCGGTGGCCACACCCTCAGGTGACAGCCACACCCCAGCCCAGCCAGCCCCGCCCCCAGCCCCGCCCCCAGTCCCACCCTGTGCACTCACCCTCCTCGTGGTTGTTCTCTCCCTCGGGGATGCCCACGTACACCATGACGTTCACGGCGTCGGACACGTCGAGGTGCAGATTCGTCGTCCCCACCTTCCTGTCCTCCGCCGATATCAGGCCTGCGGGCACACGAGCACGTCAGAGCAGGATCTCAGCATCCAGCTGGCTCTGACCCGGAAATCGGCTTCAAAATCTCAGCGGAGCAGCTTATTCCAGACACCTTCTGCGCACAGCTTCCTGTTCTTTGTCCTAAATACACCGTCACACGGCCTCAAGTTGTGTCTCGGAGTCCTGCTTTACTGCAGACCAGATTAGACCAACTCTGCCAGTACATTTAGGACTCTTGTATCCTGCTATCCCCTCTGCTCGGGCAGGAACCGGCCTGCAGCCAGCGTACCCCCAGAGCGCCCCCTCACCGTAAGCGTTGTACATCTTGGGCCCCAGGTCGGGCCGCACGAAGAAGTTGGGCAGCCGGGCAGCCAGGTTGAGGCGCCCGTCCCTCTTGGTGTACTCAGGGAGGGGGAGATTCTCCATCAGGTCCTCGAACCTGGGACAGGAAAGACGAGCCCTCAGACCCCGCTCAGGGGTGGAGAAATGCACACTCCGACTCATGCACACACGAGGGCACAAGAAGGTACTAAAAGCAGCCAGACTGATTAAACCGAAGACTGCTCTGCACTTTGGAAGATAGGACATGCGTTCAGGATTCCAGGTCTGGGCAAGAGCTAAGAGCATCAGAACCCACGGCCAGCTCAGTATTTAAGGACTGGAAGAATCCTTTCCCTGTGATCAATATACTCTCTTATCCACACCGGGATTTGGAGAATCCTTTCACGTGCCCATCTGACCCGGGAATCAGGAAGCACGTGCCCATATGAGTCGGGGAGCGGAGCCAGCGTTCCTAACCGTGTTGGCATCATGTCCCGGAAGTCCTCGCCGGGGGGCCAGTCCTTGAGCTTCAGCACCATGGGCTGACCATCGGTGCCCTGCAGTCGCTCTGCAACAAGCACAGGAGGGCACTTAACACACTCTCTCACCCCACACACACACAGCACCCACCCTCTCTCGCCACACACACACAGCACCCACCCTCTCTC